TCTTTCTTTAAAAAAAAAAGAAGAAGATAAAATAAAACCTTCAACTAAGAATTGTTTTCTTTTAGTGGGCACAATAGTAATGTAATCCCAGCAATTTGGGAGGCCAAGGTAGGAGGATCACAAGTTAGAGGTCAGCCTGAGCAATTCAATAAGACCCATTCTTAAAATTAAAAAATAAAAAGGCTAGAGATGTAGCTCAGTGGTAGAACTCCCCTGGGTTCTCTAGTACCCCACCCCCCCCAAAAAAAAATTGCTTTCTTTTCTCAGGTTGTCATTTTGGGGATGATTCTGAAGTTACCTTGTAGCCTTTGGAAAATATGGTCAAAATAAAACTCTGCCAGGAATGATGATAAAAGAAAAGTAAACCTTGTACTAAAAATTGCTTTCTTGTGCTGGGCGTGATGGTAAATGCCTATAATCCTGGCTGTTCAGAAGGCTGAGGCAGGAGGATGGCAAGTTCTAGAAAGTCAGCCTCAGCAACCTAGTGAGACCCTGTCCTGGAATAAAATTAAAAGGGCTGGTGATGTAGCTCAGTGGTAGAACACTTGCCTAGCATGTGTGAGGTCCTGGATCAAATCTCCCCAGATAGACAGTTTGGAAGGATAAGTAGATAGATAAATAGATAGAACTCTATCACAGACATGGAGAATGGCTTTCATGAAAATTCATTCTCTGTAATGCCTGTGGTAGATTCCTGGTGAAAGTAGGGAGAGATCCAGTTTTGTAATAAAGCCTCTGAGCAGAACACCTGACAGGACCTCCCAGAGCTCCATGGTGCCCTCCATCTGAAGTTCCTGTCACATCCTGAGATAATTCATCAATTATCAGATATAAGCAGTTCAATTCTGGTGATACAGCAGCCATTGCTGAATCATAGTGACTGCAATCATAGTGAAGGATTTCTCCTAGTTAAGTTTGCTAATCAATAGAAATACCAAACCTCACTGGCACTTTGATCCATTTATTCTGTAGTTGTTTAACTGCCTGTTAGTCTGAGGGTCACTGGAAAGAGATGAAGAAACAACTTTTGTCACTTTCACAGAAGTCTGGTGTGTGTGGTCTCATCCCCAATAATTTGAAAGTAAATATGGCAACCACTGGGCCCTCATGAAGGAGGAAATGCTGTTAATTTACTTTTCTGGCCACAACTTAAATTCAGTCTAATTAGTTTGCCTCCCATGTCCCGCTATCTTTCTATTACTTTCTACAATATAAAATTGGATAAGTGAATAGATGAATGAGGAGACAAACAAACAAAAAATGAGCTTCCACCCTTAAATAATGGTGCTTCACTTAAATTTGTTATCAACTGGCCCTTGAACCAATTTTGTTAAAATCCTGTGCTAACCCATTTTGTTAAAATCCTGGCACTAAGAATCTAGTGCCAGCAAACTCACACATGACTCCTTGGTATCGTGAAGTATGAGTCAGATGGTGCACAGCACCAAGGAGATGTTTTCCCTAGTGGAGCATCATCTAACGCCACATGCCGAGGAACAGAGATGGAGAAGGAGGAGGAGGAGCAGGAAAAGGAGAAAGAGGAGAAGAAAGAGCAGGAGGAGCAGCAATAGGAGGAGAAGAGCGGGAGGAGGAGCAGGAAGAGCAGGAGGAGGAAGAGGACGGTGGTAGGAGGAAGAGCAGGAGGAGGGGAGGGGGTAGGAGGAGGAGCAGGAGGCAGAGGAGGAATAGGAGGAGCAGGGGTAGGAGAAGGAGCACAGCTGAGGACCCACACAGTAGATCACTTCAGGATCTTTCACATTCATCATGTCATTTAAGAATGATAAAAACATGCAAAAGTGACAATGTCACAGGAATTAGGAAATAAATTCTTCTACTTATTAAATTTTATCAACCTCTCTACTTCCTATAGAGTCAGAGCATAGCTCAGGCCTCCCCTGGAGATTCTCCCTTGGTAGAATTGCAGGAGGGTTGGGCCTGCCTGCAGGACCAGGGCCTAAGAAGACAGGCTACACAATTAGGGATCTCCTACAAGCAAGGAGAGCCAGGTCTTTACAAACTGCCCACCAAGCAAGGGATCATCAGGCAGCAGTTGATGACCAAGGCCATGGGTGGGATGGAAGGAACAAATGCAAGTCTATAGATGACTTTTCAATCTTGTGGGATCGCCACTGCTCCATCCCTGCAAATTCCTACCTCATGGGGGAGGCAGCTCAGCAGAGAAGCCAAAGACCACTTTTCCATCCAGCCCATTTTCTGCCCTTGCCCTGGCTCTGTTACAAATACAGAAGCAGGAAAGTCACCAAACGAAAGTAGTCAAACAGCCATCAAAATGATATGAACAATCCACACCTGTGTTATCAGAGCTCCTGACAGATGCTCAGAAAACTGCAATAGGACACTCCTCCCCACCATTTATTACACAGCCTTCAAAAACAATTTTGACACATGGTGGGGCATGTTGCTTTGGGATAGGGAAAAAAAAACATCCAGGATTAAAAAGTCTATTTAGACCTTTTTTTTCCTGTCCAATAACAAAAACAAAAAGACATCAGAACTATCCATTCCATCTCCTCCAAACAACATTTAACACATGCACACACAGTCAGGGCTGGGCAGTGGGGGCCTCCAGTGACACTGGACAGCCTTTCTTCCTCACTGGGCCCCATGGGGTATTGCATACCATGATGCAGCAAAATGACCCAAGTGCCACAGCCTCTAGGGACCAGCATTTAAGGAATGTGGTTGGCATGTAACATGAACCATCAATATTATCCTGTGGTTCAAAAGCACCTACAGCTGGTATAAGGCAACACTCTGGGGCATTTTTTCCCACCCCTTCCCAGAAATACTTTCTGTGGGAAAGAAGAAGGTGGGGCAAGAGAAAGAGAAACAGCAAGGAGGCAAAAACAGAAGCAAGTCATTCTTTGCTAAGAGGTCTCACTCACACATGAACACAGCAAGCTCATTGAAATATGAAACTAACAGAGAACCTACAAAAGCTACCGTAATGCCATGTAAAGTAGAATCATCACCCAAGACAGAAAACAATAATACAATGATTTCCTGCCAAGAAACATGATCCTGTACATCTAAAAACGGTATCAACAACTGTTACCCTGAAATAGCCACGAGAGTCCAGGCAGAAACCCTGGAGCTGCCTTTCTACTCTGCTTGGGGGCTGAGCCAGCAGCAGGGCACACTGCACTTCACTCCTCTTGTTTCAAAAGCCACGTCTAAGAAGTGATTTTCATTCACCATGCCCGTTAAACCTCATGTACTAAGAGATGCCTTATATCCTAGAATTGATCTGATAGGAAATACATTAATGTCATTAATAGAAGTTATTGAGTATTTTTCCAAGTGTTTACCCTATCACCCCCAGGACTCCCCATTAGAAAGCTTTCTGGGACAGCCAGATCTACTTATTTCCTTAAAGCACCAAAAGGACTCTAGCCATGTATCTTGTTTCCCTTGAGTCATTATAAAGAGTTAGAACAATAAACGGAAGCTTTTTTCCCTAAGATAAAGCCAGAAAAATGTATGATACCTGCAGAGGTGGATGACATTTAGTTCAGCAACACAGAAAAAAGAATACTCTTCTGGGGCTAGGCACGGTGGTGCACACCTATAATCTCAGTGACTCAGGAGGCTGAGACAGGAGGATGGCCAGTTCAAAGCCAGCCTCAGCAAAAGGGGCGGGGGGGTGGGGCTAAGCAACTCAGTGAGACCCTTTCTCTAAATAAAATATAAAATAGGGCTGGGGATGCAGCTCAGTGGTCAAGCACCCCAAAAAGAGAATACTCCAGTACCACATCCCCACCCCAAAAAGAGAATACTGTTCTGGGGCTAGGGCTACAGCTCAGTGGCAGAGTGTTTGCCTATAAATAAATAAAATGAAATAATTATTTAAAAAGAAAAAAAGAATATTGTTCTACCACAAACCAAGCCACTAAAGCAGGGAGACAATGGGTTCTCTTTTGTTCATGCTTGAAGGACAGGGCAGAGCCTGACCCTCAGAGGACACAAAGCAACATTCTGTTGACCAGAAAGTGGGGTGCATGGAGCGAGGCACACAAGAGCCCCATCAACATGCCCAGGCCGTTTTGCAGAGCAGAAGGGTCCACAGACAAGCCGGTTTCCCCCCTCCCTTCAATTCTCTTTCATGCTCTGTGGTAGGCCGGAGGGACATGTACCATGAGTCACTGCTTCCGTGGAACATTCCCCTGCTGTCTCTGTTCATCCAGGGTTGCTCTGTGAATGATCTGACCAAGAACAGCAAGAGGAGCCCCAGAGCAGTTTTCAGAACCAGCCCTCGGCACTGGCCCATCTGTCAACATTCTCTCTTGGAGACCCTGCTGCTCTCACACTGCGAGGCTATAGACACCCCTCCTTGACGACCAGGCCTCAGTCCAGTCAGGTCCAGGCTTCCAGAATCCTTGACACAGCACCACACACCTAACCCTCTGGACCATCCTGTCTAACAGGTGACTACCACCAAGTGACCCCATCAATGCCATACAGAGAGGAAGAGGAGCCCAGCTGGGCCCTTTCCAGATTCCCTGACCTACAAAATTGAGTGACACAGTGAAACGGCTGTTTGTGACAGACACATCACAAACTACACTAAGCGCTAGCAGTGGAAGCCAAAGGCCACCGTGAAAATACAGCCAGAGCTCCTCCTGTACGCAAGTCTGGTTTCCACCACAGCGAAGGCAGAAGCAGGGGAAGAGATCCATGCTACCACGAGGCTTAGAGCTGGGCTCTAGGCCTCCAGGGCTTCCAGACAAAGGAAGCTCATACTGAAGGCCACAAGGGCCACACGGGGCCTCCGGTGGCACCATGCAGCTTACCTGCCGCAGGAGCTCCTCCTGGCTGCCATCGGCCCTGCCACCGAGGCCAAAGCCACAGGGCCTCCCAGGGCACCGAGCAGCCTACCTGCCGCAGGAGCTCCTCCTGGCTGGCATCAGCCCTGCCCTCCTGGCTGCCATCAGTCCCGCCACCAAGGCTGCAGGATCTCCAGGGGCACCGCGCAGGCCTACCTGCCGCAGGAGCTCCTCCTGGCGCACGCGGATCCTCTCTCTCTCCATCTGGATCCTCTGCAGCCGCAGCTTCTGCTGCTGCTGCTGCTGCGTGGTCAGGGCGGTGGGCAAGGCAGTAGGCAAGCTCATGAGCCCAGCCGGGTTCTGAGAAGGGCGGTTCTGCTGGCTCAGGGTGCTGGGCGCCATCTGCTGCTGGTGTTGGTGACTCATCACTAGAAGAAGAACACACATGGGATAGGTGACAGGGCCTAGGACACCTTATCAAAAAGAAGATGCGATGTGCTTTTTAAGTATGGATTCCCTGACCTACCAAATTGAGTGACACAGTGACTCCTTCCACAGCACTTTCCGATTATTCTTTGCTATTTAAATAACTATTACCTAATTCAATTCACTCCTGATCACCCAGTCTTGGTTTTATTGTCTGTTGGGAACCTTGCTTCACATCTTCTCCATGTGCAGAGTACATCTTAAGCTTTACATAGAACACAATGACAAATCAAGCAGATTCCACAAACGTCATCACAGATCATGAGAGAGTTCACCAGGACCTCTAAGGCTGTGTGTGCACTTTCTCAAGAGCTGACGAGGGCATGTGCTCGCCAGTGTTCAGTGGCTGCGCAAGACCATCGAGGATTGGGTGAATGCTCGGCAACATGGGAACTCAACGCAAACAGGAGCCCGTTAATGCTTTCTTAGAAAGGGACACCCCAAGAAATCTCAGCTCCACTAAGGAGCAAGTATCAGACTGAGAACAACAAATAGCTGATCTTACAAAGGGAAAATCGGTGAGAGACAGATTACTTGGTACAGTACCAAGGCAGGCAGTATCTATTTTACACTTACCAACATTCAATTTTTAGGATCGAGAACTTTGCCCTGGGAAAGAAGTCCCAAGCTGGGCGCAGTGGCACAGGCCTTGCACACACTAAGCAAGTTCTCCACCCCCAACCTCACTGGACTTTCTGAATAAAACTGGTGAACTGTAGGAATGTCTCCATTAGGGCTATGGTAGGACACTGCAGTTTTTTCTATTGCTATGGAGATAACTGTGTGTGCAAGGATCTTCCTGTCTTATTTCCTACGACTGCATATGACACTATGGGGTCTGTAGTCATGTATCTGTACAGGCACACTATATGAAATATGGATCTGGCCAATGTCACTCTCCAGTAACTCCCCAAACAACTTTAATAAGAAAGAAAGAAAAAAAATCAAAGTTTTAAATCCTTTAACATATCCATGATTGTTGTTCACTATCTCACACACACACACACACACACACACACACACACACACACAAAATTTAGAAAGTGCTAAGCTGGGTGTGGTGCATGCATATAGTCTCAGCCACTTGGGAAGCTGAGGCAAGAGGGTCACTGAGTCTGGAAGTTCAAGGCCAGGCTGGCAATACAATGAGGACCTATCTCAAAAAATAGTTCTAGTTTTTCCTCCTGTTCACCAGTCAAATTTGCTTCACTTCTGCCAGGCTAATATATAATAAAGACAACCACACTTTAGTTTCTAGGTCAGGACCAAAGACAGGAAGGTATAATTTTATATATTCATTTCATTTCTGAGAAAAAAAATTAGGAGTTTTGCTATATTTGATCTCACTATTTTAAAAGATTTTTTTAATGCATGTATTTGAATTAAGTTCTAAGACTTCAATTTATTTATTTTATTTATTGGTACTGGGATTGAACCCAGGGCCTTGTCCTTTTATTATTTCAATTTTTTTTTTAAAGCAGGGATTGAACCCAGGGGTATTTAACCACTGAACCAGCCCTTAAAATAAAATAACTTTAAGTTATTCATTTTGTATTTTGAGACAAGGTCTCACTAGGTTCCTCAGGGCCTTGCTAAGATGCTGAGACTGCCTTTGAACTTTTGATCCTCCTGCCTCAGCCTCCCAATCACTGGGATTACAGGTGTGGGCCACTGTGCCTGGCTGGCCTTGTCTTTGAAACACACAGTCTACCATTGAACTATAGCCCCCAAAGTTAAATCTTCTAAATCTTCCATTTGCTATGTATATCATGTGGAAACATACCTTGAAACTAAATTTTCTTGAATGGATTCTATGGTGTCCTAATCACCCAGGTACTGAATGTATGTGCAGCATGCAGGCCATACTCATGCTGAATCCATGAATCATGAGCATCAGTAGATGAGGACAGTTGGCTACCTCCTACACTCTTAGTTTCAGAACTGAAGTGTGTGTGGGGGGGGAGGGGGGGGGACTACAGTTCCAATTGATGCCAAAATAACAGAAATGTCTAGAGCTTGCTAGACCATAGCTACCTCGACTCCACGGCAGGTGGGAGTGGGAGGTCAAAGGCTGTGCGTAAAAGATTCCCAGGGAAACTATCGCTTCCATACAGAATCCAGTCAGAAAAAACCCAGACATGCAGAGGGTGTGAGGAAAGAATTGTGGTCATTTCAAGGGACAGACGTTTCTGAACCTTCTAGAAAAGTATGCTCCTACTTTTCTATAAACAACAACAAAAAAAATGCTCAATATTTTCAATATCTGTACAGGCTATTAATCCTGAATTATTTTTTTATAAACCAGAAGTTTAAAATATTTTTAAAAACTGACTCGAGTCTGGTAACTTCAGATTCAAGTGGGACCGTCTTCAGCAGCTTTCCCTAGATGGCACGTGGAACCAGCCAGGCTCACCCCGCGCACTGCACTTGGCCTCTCAGCTTCTCACAGTGACCTGGAACTCTCGGGGACACTACTAATGTCTTATTTCTCATCTGGGGGACTGTGAGACCAGAGAAGAACTCTTCCCAAACCACACCTTGCTGGTCTGCAACACCAGCCTTGATGAGACACCCACAGGAAGTAAAGGTAGAGCCACTGGGTACCTCCATGAACCCAGACTCCACCACTCAGACCAGACCTCTCTGGTCACCAACCATGGTGTCTGGAGAGGAGCGGACTTACACAATGGCTTTGTTTTCAAAGCCAACAGCATCATTACCACAGGACCCTCCCCATGGCACTGCTCATAACAGCCCAAGACTGAGCTGAGGTCAAGGGCTGTGCATACCAGGGAGCACGGGCTGCACCTTCAGAGACATTCTACATAATCATTCCAAAGAGTGAGGAAGTTCTGTAGGGTTTCTATGGAACGATCTCTCAGAAATGTGGTCTAGAGGGGCAGAGTCACAAGGTGCAGAGCCACATGTTCTATGGCCAAAAAGGAGGGGCACATGACATCCATGCAGCACTGCCCTCCAGAGGCATCCGCCTGACACTGAGAACAGTGGAACCTCTGGACAGGAAGCTGCCCACGTCTGCATGAGAGGTCTTCCTTTTCCTATTCTGCTCTGATTGAAGTTTGCCCACACACCCTGATACTTATTGTTTTTTTTATTAGCTTTGGCATTGCTGTGACCAAAATACCCAGCGACAGGAACAACTTACAGGAGGAAGTTTATCTGGGGCTCATGGTTTCAGAGGCCTCAGCCTATGCTCTGGGCTCAAGATGAGTCAGGAAATCATGGGGGACGGACCCAGCAGAGGACAGCTGCTTAGCTCACAGCAGGGTCAGGATACAGAGAGAATGGAAAGGGCCAAAGGAAAGATGCCCCCTTCCAGGACAGGCCCCAGTTGCGCCTCCTCCTCCAGCCAGCCCTGCCTACCCACAGTCTCCACCCAGCCAGTCCATTCACACTAGAAAGGACAGATAAGGTCACAGCCCCACACTCCAGTCACCTAGCCTCTGAACATCTCTATATTAACACAGGAGCTTTGGGGGATACCTCCCATCCAAACCCTAACCCTTACGTAAAACAAATGGAAATGAAAAGTAAGGAAACAAAGTCACAAGACATAACAAAACAGTAAACATGGCCCTGAAAGCATCACACTCAATATTTTCTTTCTGGGGTAAAAGAAGATAATCCTCAAATTAAAACAAGGCTCAGAACATCATCAAGACAACTCATCATGACTAAGAGTTAACTTGGCACAACCTCTTTTTGGAATGAGACCAAAGCCCAGAGACAAGGGAATTCAGTCTCTGCCACAAGTGTCCTGGAAGCTAAGCATCCTGACGTCCCCAGGCACTAGCAATGCAGATCTGCATGCACTCTACACCCTCTGGTTGATTGAGTTCTGTTACTGAGCCCTCTTGAGACTGGCTTCATTGCTGGCTGAGCTGAGACAAGGCGCTTCAACTGCACTGACAGCTGAACTTCCAAAACCAGAGCCACCCCTTATTTTAGCCACTCAGAGGCCCAAGGCAGCAACACAGTCCCCAGGACATCAGGGGAAGGAAAAACATCAGAATCTGTGATGAACAAAATACTCCTCAGGAGAGGGTTCCAGAACACTGCGGGGAGAAAACAAGAAGAAAAAGAAGCAGAGTATTCCAAATGCAGGATCTGAGGCCAAACTGGATTATGGGCAGACAGCCATGAACTGCCTCAAAAAGGCCAAAGACCTCGTCAGTCCTAGACCTTCGCCAGTCTCCACAGAAAGGAATAACCCAAACAGAAGAGCTCTCCACTGAAGCAAGAATGCATCAAAACTAAAGCCAGGACATCTTTTTCTTTTTTATTTTTAATTTCTTTCCAAGAGAGTCAGAATTTAAATTTAGATCCCCATTAATCTTTTTCTTTTTCATCTCCTTTCCCTTTTCTTCTTCTTGCTCTCCTCTTTTTTTTATAACTGGCTTTCTCTTTGGAAATTGAAAAAAAATGCCCTTAATTGGCATTATTTGATATAAAAGAAAACACCAAAAAAAAAATAAAAATAAAAAAACAAGCTCCATAGCATCTGAGGTACAGAGGCCCTTGTGATCCAGAGCCTGGCCTCAGTGAAGCCCCAGCCCACAGGAGATCAGGTGGAACTGCGTTGCTCTCAACCAACACAACTCTCTGGTCAGCGCCGCCTGGGACAGTGTGCCCGGGTGCAACGGTTCACGCCCCTGGTCACCTCTCAAAGCCCTAAGAGTGGGACAGACTAGAGGCCAGGAATGGCCTGGACTCTGGGCTAAGCCAGACTTCATCTGCTGCACGAGGCGCCAACGTGGGGAGTAGAGGTTTTGCTTCTGAAGCACCAGGGAACAGGGCTCATGGAGAAAGTGCTTTGGCAGCTTCCCCCAGCCAGAAGCTGCAGACACAGAGGGAGGCCAGGAACCTAGGGCCTGCCTGGCTCGCCTCCTGGAATGTTTGACAAACGTCTTCTTGGCCCTGG